CATAAACAAATTGTGCCTGTGCTGAAAAGAAAAAAAAGGTAGAGAACTTAAAAAAAAACGAAATGAGGTTTTCGGCAATGTGACAATGCCCAAGGATAGGTCTGATCTGAGGCCTTAGCAATTTACACGGAATTTTACTCTAGTGGTTTCTCTAAGGTTCAGCAAAGACAAGAGACAAAACAATATGCCATTTCTGAGCCAGAGGAACCATTTTCAGAGCCTAGTGCATATAGTTTCAAAATTCTCCTCTTCTAACTATCATATGAGTGGACTGTAAAGAAAAAGACCCTTTCGATCTTGCGTGGTGGTTGAGTCTTGAAGGGCATTTGGGGCTTTGATTTACCTTCCAGAAGACAATGTGGGCTCAAAAATCATGTGCAGTGCAGAGATGAGTGCCAAACTGTCACCAGACATAGATCCTAACCCGCTTCTCTTGCCCTGCTGAAAAACCTAACTTTTATGTTTGACCTAATTCTCTGGTCTTCTTGCAAGTTGCAGGTGGTCCTTTATCTAACACCTTGGGGCCTTGAGCTGATGCGGTTTTCAGCTATGTTCCAGGAAGAAGCTCTAGGCAACGACAACCGCCAAGGTTGCTGCGCTGAGCTGGACCAAGTTGGCCCAGACCACGACCACGAGACTGGCACCAGCACAAATAGGCTGAAAATTGTACTAAAGTAACCTGCCCTCATTAACATCATAAATTCCCCTCCTCTGAGAGGGGCAAAGCAGCCATTTTTAGGTCATGTGTTGTATGGAGAAGCATGATTTTATTTTATTTTATTTATTTATTTTTTTTAAGATTTTATTTATTTATTTTTTCCCCCAAAGCCCCAGTAGATAGTCGTATGTCATAGCTGCACATCCTTCTAGTTGCTGTATGTGGGACTCAGCCTCAGGATGGACGGAGAAGTGGTGCCTCGGTGCGCGCCCGGGATCCGAACCCGGGCCGCCAGCATCGGAGCGCGCGCACTTAACCACCAAGCCACGGGGCTGGCCCGAGAAGCATGATTTTAAACTGTGTAAGTGCAAGCGTATGCCCACCTCTGCAAGCGATAATAAAACTTCTCCTTTGAATATTCATTCCCTACCCCAAGTAAAATTATCCACCTCCCCATGCTCGGAGGTTCATAGCTTTATGAAATTATTCTCTATGGTCGCCATTTTTCCTTGCTGCACGCCGCAAATAAAAAGTAGACTTTGTGAAACAACTACTTCTGGTGCAATTTGATTTAACTCCCAAGAAGGGACCCATGTTTCGTGTGGTAACAAAACTAAAGGGTAGCATTTCACCAACCAGTGCAGGTGGATTATTTCACTAAACCATGCAGCTGAATTGGTTTGAGGATGAGGACGCTTAGGCTTTCAGGATTATTCAGTAACATGACCTGACGGTTACACGAGGCAACCTCCATACTCAACAGCTCTTAGGAGAATCACGGCTCCATCATCTTCAATAATAAAAGAAGTAAGAAACTGAACTTCTACATTCTTTAAATTAGTCCTAGCACTTCACGACAGTGGCACATGGCCTAGTATTAGCAACAAATGCAGATAATAGAGACTATCAACAGTTACTAGGCTATCCCTTCCATTATGTGAATATTTCTACACGTCAGTGTGGGGAATCCTCTGATCATGAGTAGAATCAACACTAATTGGAGATTTTGGTTTCCAGGAATAAACTCTTCCAGTAAGTCATTTATGCATTTTTCCAGCTACTGTTCTGTGCTAAAAAAAAAAAAAGTGTAGGGGAAAAAGTATGAAAGAAGGAGACATGAGATAAGAATTTAAATCTCAGGAAGGCCATTAGTCTGTTTTCGAGTCACAGGCAAGTCACTTCACCTCTGTAGTCTATTTCCTCAACTCCGAGATGCAGGAGTTGGATTGGCTGGTCTCTAAAGCCCCTCGCAGCTCTAAAAGTCTAGACGACTTACAAAGGCTAGCACTGGCTCCGTCAGTCACTGGATCTATGTACACTATTAAAATGATGAGGTCTTGCCTTTTAAAAACGCAGTGAAGGGAAAAGCAAATTTTCCCTCATGGCCCTGGGGCTGTAAATCATTTGTTGTGCTAAGACACTGGACAACATGGTTTGTTTGCATTTGACATGTCACGTTGAACACTAGATGTGTGTGTTGTTAAAAAAAAAGTAAGCAGCCTGATTATATTTTCTTGCTTATTAAAATTAAACTGAACTTATAATTAATATCCAATTGACACCACCAGGTGAAGTACTTTAGTGTTGTCTTTTTTCTAAGGAAGTAATGAGTGATTCTCTTCTGATGGCTTTATACTTCTGGAAAGGTCAGCAAAGTCCCCAATTCAGACTCTTGCTCCCACATCAGCTGTTTCATTTCAAATCCTCAAAGAGCAATCTCCTCATATAATTTTCCTTTTTTCAGAATGGTCACAGTTCTGTAGCCATATAATAAAAATCATGCAAATCTGAGTTTGCTTACGCTAAAGATGGGCTTATTTGAATAGGACCAATGTTCATTCACTTCAGTGTGAATGAAGCTTGATGCGATGTTTTTCAACGTGACTTTAGCTGAGCTGCAATCGGGAGAGCCTACGTACGATACAGATGGCTGTACTTAAAGGTCTGATGTGTGACAACTGTGGCATCTAATTGTGTTCTCAGTTCTAGATTTAGCAGCTTCTCTAGCTTGATTCTTCTGGCCATTGAGTATGATTTTATGTACTCTTAGCAATCAGTACATTTAATTTAGGTTTTTGCTTTTTTTTCCATGAGGATTCAAAATGTAACCCAAAAAATTTCAGATGAAGTCTAAAATAGATTTTCTGTGATTCACAAACATTAGTGAAAAATATAGAATTGCATGTATGCCTTTATACACACACACACACCCACACACACCCACCCACACACCCACCCACACACACACAAATTGATTCTATGTGCATATATACAAACATCCCCTCAAGTTGGTTTTTCTTTGATAGGTTTGATAGCAACGTCAAATCATATATTATTTTAAAAGTTTCTTATTTATATTGCCATTGTAACAATATAAATCATTACTACTTATCACTAGGCTAACTTAGAAAGGATTCAAACATTCATTTTAAAACTCTTTTTAAATTTTCTTGCTTTTTTTCTAGGATTCTGCAGATTTAAAAATAGTATTTATTCTATTATTCTTAGCTTGCATGTTTTTATGCTGATTTCAGCAAATTGTGGCCATTTTCCATAGTCTATCTGCCTAGACTCTTGCATGGTATTGAAATATTTTATTTTTTACAGACATTAATTAACTTCTGGGATACATACACATCAGTGATGAGTGAGTTCAGTTAAATTTTATGATATTTAGATGCTGGATGACATCTCTTTCAGTTGACTAGAACCTGTGGAAGTGACCAGAGATTTGCATGACAAAGTACTCTCCTTGAATTGCTTCTTTGCCACGCTCTTCTCTGTCAGTAAATCTTGGAAAATTTCTCCTCAACATGGGAAAAATTAGACTTTGTATTTCCAGTAGAATTAGGAAGCTAAGGGTAAAGAAGAACAGGAAATGGAAGGAGAGAAAATTAAGACTACAGAGAAAAATAAATCATGAGATTCTATCAAAATGCTGATTACACTGGAAATTATCCAGTTAGGTCTACAAATTGAGAAGAGTGGTTTTTTTCTTTCCCACTATTAGGAAAAAAGAGACAAGAGACAACAACACCAAAAATGTAGAGTTGGGATTAAGAAAAGAAAGGAAAGGAAGAGGAGGGGAGGGAAGAGGAGGGAGGGAAGAGAAGGACACTCACCCCTCCAAAGGAAACACTGCCTGTTCTGCATACACCTGCTGCCCTAGAGTGAGGGATACAGGGCACTGGAGAGTCTCCTTCCTCAGAGAAAGCTAGACTGAGGCAAGATAGCAGGGAAGTTTTCAAAAGTTTCTCATTAGTAAGGGCTAAAACAAATCAAGTTGGTCCTTCATTTACCAGAAAACTAAGTAAATTGCTATGCCATTTCCTGCAGCATTCTGATAACCAAGGGGTCCTTTTTATTTAAAAATGGAAATTCTGTATCACAACAGGGGATAATAACAGTCTGAATTACAACGGTAACATTTGTATCCGTTTATTTTTCTTTGAGTGGGCATTTCTATCCATCATTAGCTCAAAAAAACCAATATACATAGAAGTGAAAATCACATAAGGAAACAACAAAAGAAGAACAACATTAACAGATCCAACAATGGAAGTGCTGCTTGGTAATTTTTAGAGATGTGCGTACTGGGGTATCAAAATGGTAGAAGAGCAGGAGAGAGACTTTTGCCCAAAATGGCCCATTTTAATGAAAATTAATCATGGGACTTAGCACTGGGAAAGACCAGCAAAATGCTCCTGAGGTGAAACGCATCATCACTTCCAGCTTCCAAAACATTTTGTAAGTTAAGCCTGGCTTTTGTCTTTTGGATCATTTGCAAGAATGTTTTTGGTCTTTCAGCTATTTTCTCAGCAAATCAACCTTCTAATATTTAATGAGCAATGAATATATGGAGAACAGAGTCATCACAAGACGGGAACAGGAAAGTGTACTTCTCTGCATTCATACCCTCCTGTTGTCTCTGCTTCCTCATCTTTTCCCCAGCAAAATAGAGTCATTAAAACAAAAAAAATCAAAAGTACCTATGTTCACAGGGGTCCCAGTCTATGGCCAAGACCATCCTTATGATACTTTTTGCATAATCCTGATATAATATATTGTATTTGGCACTGAAATCAATTTGTTACTAGTCTACATAAATGCTATTCTATACAAATATTAGCAAGGGGAGCAATCTGGAATATATCAGAGCAATTAACAAATTACAGATTATCTGCTAAGGAGATGTCAGAACGCATAGGCAATAGCCCAATGGGGTGGTCATGGGGATCGCACGGGACAGCATATGTGAAAGGACTCTGAATGACAAAGCACTTTGGACATCAAGGTCATTATATTGTTGTATAACAACTGATACACTGTGGGGAAAGTAAACCCTAAGAAGGCAAAAAACTCTGGTCAGATTTAATACAAGGAATCATTTCCTTTCCATGTCTAACAGTTGGCACTTAGCAATGATAATATAATGTATGGAGAGACACATCTTGGGCCTATAAAATAGACATCTGAATATACAAATATATATTAAGAAGAATGGTAGGATACAAATTGATGTAAAAATATGCTTTGCTTTCCTTGTTTCATGATTTTAAAAAGCATACAATTTTATGTTGTTGGATGTTGAAGCAGAGTTAGAAATCCTTTTGGTTATGTTTCATGAATGTTTTCACAGTATATGTTATTACAGTGTTGGTATCTTACGTGTTAAATAGCTTTCTGAAATACTTAGGACTCAACCAAAAATAACTAAACATTAATATAGCTCATTCTAGTAACATGTTTAGTTATATTGTTTGGGGCAGTGAGAATGGATTGGTGAGAGTGGAAATTCGTCAAGCTTTGTTAGTTGGCCTATTGTGAATTAAGCGTTTGAGATAGTCAAGTAATCCTGATGGGTATGATGTCCATAATATCATCACTGTTAATTAGGAAATGACCTGAGGCTTTAGCTGTAGGAGGTACTGTAGGAAGATGGTATGTCAGGAAGAGATTCTTCCCTGCCCTCAAGCTAACTAGTAACTGTGGTAAGATACTTGTACCCTGAGCATTTCTTGGGTCAGTGTCCAACAGTGGAGCTGCTCAGGTTCAAGAAACCACAGAGTCAATAACTTTGCCTCACGAGGCCAAATCCCATGGCATTTGGAAGTCACTCACTGTCAAGAATTCTGGGCAGCTATCTTGAAGGATAATCTTCCCATTTCTTAGGTCATTGCTGTCATTTACTGGCCTTCATTTCAATTCCAGTTAAATTATAAAGTGCAGTATGTAACGGTGAACCTTCAGAAAGAACATAATGAGCACAACCACCCTACACAGAATCCAAAGTTCAAATTACTGGCAGAGTCACCATCCATATCTGAGAATGTATAGAAACTTGATCATCATTGTTGTCTTTATCATCACCATCATCATGATTAGCATCATTAGCATCACAGTTGCAGCATCATGATCATGTCAAGCGGTATGGCAAGATCAGAAAAACCAACATCAAGACACTGTCCAGTTTGGGTGTGTAAATATTATCCTGTGTTTCTTGGCCCATTTAGCAAACACTTTCTTCTCAGTGATAAACCTATGCCCCCCATATGGGGCATGTTCATGAAGAAAATATTCATCACATTCATCTCTTCCTTGTTCATAGTAATGATAGGGGACTTTTCTATATCCTTCTGTCCTAGAAAAGAAAAGGGAAAAAAAAAAAAAAAAAGAAAAGAAAAGGAGAGAAAGATTGAGATGAAGAATGAAGCATTCACTTACAAGAATCCATTATGTGCCCAGTAAATGCATTTACTTGCAAACCCATGCATGATTCTTGTCCATGAATTCAGTTAAAAGCTATTATGTATAAAAGCTTTTAAGAAAATGTACCAGGTCCTTAGTGCTTTAATAAATCAAATAAAATTTATATATCACACCAGTTACATTCAAACATATAGCTATCCCTTGAAGGAGGAAATTGTATATAATGGAAGCAAACTTTGGATAGCCTGATGCTCTTGCAGAGCTTGAAGCAGGTTGGTGATTTTGCAGAGTAAGATATTTGATTCAGCTGTGCTCCATTATGCTTATAGTTTGGGTAGAAATATTTGATCATGAAGATTGTGGCTTAGTTACCATTTTGACAATATGACTAAAATACTCTCGGAATTATATTGTGCCAATTGTTGGTAGGAAAATATATTTCATTACCTTGATGAAGCATGAGGGTTTGTATTATTAAATAATTAGAAACTATCCCACCAGCAGGGATATGCTGTGGATAAACACACCCATTTTAAATAAGGATCTGGCAGATTACTCACTTCTTAGTGAAATATAATTTCCAGGAATTCTTGTTAAGCTGTCAGCTTCTCTGAGGCTTCAGGACATTTGTCCTTCATAATCAAATATAACCGCTGAGTAGAGAGCCATCCATCAAGCTATTAGAGCAGCAGAAATGACAAATTTGCCTTGCAAATTAAATAACCACTAAACTTGCTCTGTATTTCCAAGCCACAAGTCCCTGATACGCCACTGATTAAGGGAAAAATGTTCCTTCTGACACTTGACTTTAGACTTTGGTAAATATTTGTCTTTTTATCACTCCTAAAAGTCACAACTCGGTACGCTGACAATAAAATGTCATGTCAGCAAAGAACACCAGGAAATAATTGTTGCTTTATCTGTTTCTCAGATTTATGGTATTAAAATGAATTGTGATATTTTGACAAGCTATCAGAATTGGAGATGCATAAAAATAATTTCCTGTGATCTTACCTGCAGTAGGTGTCATTTATCATGCCGTAGACGTGAATGCTATAACAGGCATCCATGGCCAGAATGAAGGTAAACCATCCTGTGCTGAGATAAGAGCCAGACTGGACTCTGGGGCAGAAGGGGGGACCAAAAACAAACAACGACAACAAACAAAACAGAAAACATACACAGAGCAACAATAAAGTGTGGTGAGATACGGGCAACCTTTTATCAAAAACATAGCACTAGTTATCAGGAAAAAGCATTAAGAAACTTGACAGTCTGTCAAAGATACACACTTATTTTGAATTATCTCTGAATAATTTATAGGCAGGCTCTCACTCTTACTACCTTAAGCCTAGAAGCTATATTGTATGGAAGAGAAGCCATATGGCAAATATCTGAAGTCAAATAATCCTGCTCCCTTCAGGTGAAACATAATTTATTTGATTTTCCGTAAGACACAAATTAGTGCTGTATATCAGAGGACAGGTTTTCTAAAAGTTGCTTGGAGCCCTGATGGGAACTGAATGATAATGGTGTTATCTTGCTTTCCTGGACATATCACTCTCTCTAAGGCTTGTGGGGTGTCTAAGTGTAAATTGGATGCAGTGTAGGTGAATCACTTGGTCCATGAAAGCATCTGAAAAGTTTTCCTTCACTGCTTCCCAGGCATCATGCAACAAGATTTTTCCTTTGTAAGACCTATGTTACCAACAGCTTCAACCCATTTTTATTGAACACCTACTATGTGTCAATCACTGTTGTAGATGCTGGGGATACAGCAGTTATCAAAACAACCAAAGCTTCTGTCTTCATGGAGGCCAAAGGATTGGATCTGGAGGTGACTCTGTTATAAAGCTTGGCCAGGGAAGGCCTCTTTGATTATGGTAGCAAAGATCTGAAAAAAAAGGGGAGGGGATGGAAAGAAGCCATGTGGACCATCTCGAGAAAGACAGTCTCATGTGTGCAGTCTTTCAACCCCCATCTTGGCCACATTAAGAAGGGGCCTTGGGCCTGGAATGCTTCCTTAACAAGAGATAAGGAGCCTTCACAGCCTGTGCCAGGCTTATTGCCTTGTATGGGAATATCTCTCCCTGTTTCAGACTCAATGTGTGCTCCTTTGTTTTGTTTAAGTGTGTGTCATATGGCACCTGGTCAGCCCCACTACTATATCTGTCCCCTGCAAAGAAGGGACAAGGTCCTTCATTCTGTGTCACAAGAGGTTGCACGCAGGCCAGTGGCTCTGAATCAGCTGCCAGGAAGGACCCAATGGCCATGGGGGACCAACATGCACTATTGGAGAGGATCTTGCTCTGTCTCTTCTCCGTGTGAGTAAAACGTTGTTCCATCCAGTGTTTGACTGTACTGTGTTTTCCTTGGCAATTCTGACAGTAAGATGCAGTGGGCAGAAGTGCTTGGACTTCTACTCCTGGTGATAGGAGACAGATGCCACTTGCTCAACAGGCCATATGAGAGAAAAGTGTTCTAGGAAAAGGAAATGTTAATGGCAAAAGCGCAATATGGAAGTGTGCTTGGTATGTTTAAGGAAAAGATGAGAAGCATAGTAACTGAAGGAGGAGAGTTGCTGATGTAGTTAGATGCAGTGCGGATTGGAGGGGTCTGCCAAATTCCAAATGGCTCAAGGGAATGTTTGATGAGAAGCTGCATCTCCACGCTTGTCTTTAGCCAAGGGGACTCACTTCATCCAAAACAGATGACTGCTTATCTCCTTAAAACTCTCCCCATAGTGGCATTTGGGTCACCCCAGATTGTTTGGCAACTGTGTAATACCATTTCTAAAAAAACCTGAATTTCTGACCTTCCATCTAGACTTCTTGGCATACTGGAGCACAGCCAGCTCTTCTCCTACAGACTGACACTTAGCCCCTGATAACCACTCTCTGCGTCCAGCCCTCCATACAGTGCTCCCCAGTGAAGTCCAATATTGTTGATGCAGTTCTCCAGTACCAAGCAATCAGTGTGCTATAATTAGGACCCTGAATCCTTTGATTCTTCCTTTTTTTTTTTTCAAACAGGCACTGCTTAGTATCAAATTACTTACAATAGGCAAGCATTTCAGGAGCACCACCCAGTCACAGTGGGAATTGATAACTTGGTATTTTAATCTTTATTTTCATTGACTTCGGGTGATTTGCAAGGAGAAACAAACCCATCCCATATAGATCCATCCCCTCTGCTTACTCCTCACTGAATCTGAAATGCCACAATGAAAGTAGCCTTCCTTTGTATCTCCTGGTGTGTCTTCTAAATGGAAAACATTCCAGAAACAGGATCACGTTGAGCTACATGCACTTTCCTCTGTGATGGGACTAATAGCAGACACATGGGTTAGGGATAGGTGCCAAATGGATGGGAAGATGCACCACAGGGAGGTGAAATACACTAAAGAGCAACTTTGCTGATTGTGCAACTTAACCTGCCGTCGATCCTGTGTTCTGGGGTCTGAGGAGCAGCAACGATGGGAACTGCTGAAAACACCATCTGCTCAGAAAGTCCTTATTTGAAAACTGAGAGAGATCAGAAGAAGCAAGAGTCTTGACTAAAAGCTCCCAAATTGAATCTAGAAATTTCGTCTGTGCGCTGAATTTTTCTGGTTATTATTCCTACTGAATTGTATACGCTTTTTTCCTTTTCTTGCCTTCTCATTACACTTTTTCTACCTTTGTATTCTCTCTATCCTTTTTCATTACTAGTCTGACCAAGCACTAGTAGAGATCACTAAAAATTTGTACATAATGAGAAAAAACAAGTCTCACATTCACCCATTTATTCACTTTTTCAACAAATATTTATCAGGATCCTTCTATGTGTCACTGACTATGCCAGAAGCTGGTGATGAATATTTTCTTAAAGGGCACATGATCTAGTAAGGGAGGCACACATGTTAAAACAATTAATTGCAATATTACAGTGCAATAAGGCAAAAGCCCGTGTATTTCAGAGTCAGTGCCAAGTGCAGTGCAGAATTGACAGTGAGGATACTGGTTCCAGCTCAGCCACTGCTCGAATGTGAGCCTTTGGACAACTTATTTAGCCTCTTTGGGTCATCTTAGTTTCCTTGTCTCTAAAATAAGATGGTTGAACTAAGTCATATCTAGAGTTTCTTCCAATGTTAAAATCAAATGATTCTCTGTTCATCACCCTCAATAGTCAATCTGTTTTAACCTTCAGCCATTCAACAATAGCATGCTCCATGCATGTTGGATATGTAGTTAACAAACATGTTAATCAGTCAGATCTCATTTAATGCCCATTTGTGTGATGGGCATGCCGCTAAATGTCTGGGTGTATGTAAAAGGGGTATACAGTTTTTACCCTGCAATGGTAGTGGCTGTAGTCACTAAATTTTGGGGAGAGGAGCTCCATGTTTTCCTCCTTCACACTACTGCTTATGGAAGGTGCTAAAATGGCTATCCAAGACCAAGGACACAACTGGACCTCAGTATTGAGGGTAAAGCTTAATATGAGTGTGAGAAAAAATAAATCTAAATTAGGAAAAATTGTTTTTCTTCGTATGTGTTTTTCTGGGAGTTGGTCATCCACAGGATTGCTAACTATCAAGAACCAAGATAATACTATAGCTCCAGGATAAAGGGAGGATCCTTAGTATGACATATGGACCCCTACTCTGCAAAACAAGCTCTCCTGGCTCGTCTGGTCCACCCCAGATAGTCATTTCTGAGAGTTCAGCAGCAACAGAACTCTCCAAGGATAAATACAGGACAATTGTCAAAGTGGACCCTTTGCATATCTATCTTCTCTTTACCACAGGAAAAGAGGGGCAGGAATTTTAGGGTTTGGCATCTGGTCAAAGACCTTTCCATCTCACCACACAATAAGGAAATTTTACCACATTTCTGATGCTTGGTTATGTTTAAGCCTAACCTGATTTGTTTCGTTTCTAGATAGACAGATCATAATAACTAGATCAAAAGCTCTTTGAGCAAGTTGTGCTGCATTTGATTCAGACTGGGGAGGCTCAAACTGCCCAAGTACCCTGTCTACAAACAGCACTTAATTAGACAGCTGCATTTTCTGTCCCTGGTGTCTCTGATGTTCTTGGGATGTGAAATCGCATGAGGTTTCCTACACTGAGGTTTCCCCAGCACGTGCTGGGGCTGGCAAAGTGCTTCTGAAAATGCTCAGAGCCAATGTCCATATAACGATGCTTGCGGTGGAATAATGGCAACTGCTGGACTAATCCAAGAAGTCTTCCGAATAAATGCCCTGGCGACCTGGGTCCATAAAGGACCTCACTGGCCTGGATGGTGCTGGCTCTGGGAATTCTTGTAACTGCACCATTTCCAAACTTTCCTGCAGTGTGGGCATACTAGAAATGAGGAAGTATAAATTATACCCAAGTAGACCTTTTGAGGTTCAATAAAAACAACAACAAAAAGAGTTGAGCTGACATACGTGAAATTGTTTATGCTTTTTTTCCAGCTTGGAGAGACCTAGAGATAACTATCACATGCCTTAAAAAATTCTAAAAGGGTCTCTCTGGGGACAAATACTGTCTTGTAATTTGTCACTCATGCACGAAGCACTAACTATGTACCAGCTGGCTATCAGCCATAGCACTTTTTATACCTTCCACATTTGGGGATCGATAAAAACAATTATTGTCATCTACAAATAAATAATCAAGATTCCCATAGGGGTAATAAGAGAATTTAAGCCCCTAATTCAGTACAATAGGAAAGCTTAAATTAATGCGGCAGAATAATGAGCTGTGCAGAGGAAAATAAAGGCAGGAGAGTTAAGAGGCAGCTATCAATCATTTGTTTCCACTGGCCAAGCTTTGCATCCCACTGCTCCTTGGTAACCAAGATACTTACCACTTGGAAACTACTTAAATTTACTTGCTCATCTCTTGGAAGAATGATGCTGTCAACACCTTGATATAGCACATGCTTGAAGGCATATCATTTAAAATATGATCTTTCCTCTAGTCTATTACCAATAAAATATAAGCTACCTTGCCTCTTGATGTTTACCCCTGTTCCTTGATGTCTAAAGGCCATCACACATCCACAGGGATTCGTTGTCTGTCAAGCTATCCTTATTTTTACCAGTCTCAATATTTTTGTCTGTCAGCATCCTTC